TCACTGCTTTGGAGGCATCCACTGCACCCCATGCTCTACACAGAGAAATCCAGCATTTTTTGGTATTTCCCAGCAAAGCTCAAGCCCCTGAAAAACTCAGTGTTGTAAAACTTTGCCTGCAGGCACACAAGATTTCTGCAGGATCGGGTTTTCTGTTGCGTGATGTAGTTTGGGCAAGATGAAATTTAGCACTGATTCATTAGCCACCCCCACAAAAAAGCCACGGAGAAAAAATCATGCCACAGCCTGGCTGCCTGAGGGCTCTCCCCCCTCCAAGGTGCTTTTGGGAGAGGATGCAGAGGGCTTTGGTATCTGCGTAGGTTTCCTTTTCATACTGCCTGCCAGCTGAGTGATTCATCTCAGGGTTTGGGGAGTTTTATGTTAAATGAACTAAATAAGTTGGTTGTGCTAGACCCTCATGGCAACAGCATACAGGTGTGTTGTACCTGGGAGAGATAAAACTCCGAGCTGATGTCATCATTGGAAAAAAATTTGGAAAAAAAATCTTTAGCAGAAAAACTGAATGCCTCTTGCAAATATTTAAAGCATAGGGAGAGTTTTGTCTCGTGTGAAAGAACCACTGGTGTACGGACTCAAACTAACTTTTCCCATAGCAAAGCAGTAGAGAAGCAAAACACATATCTTATGCGAATTTACTCTTAGCTTGGTCTGATAATTAAATGAATGCAGAATTGGTTCCAATTAAATGAATGCAGGAATAACACACATTTGTTTATCATTCCACAGAAGCTGCAGATCTCACCCTGAGTGCAGGCAACATAGATAAACTAACAAATACAAATGCTTATTATTTCAGCCTATAGTATCTAATTTAAATCATAATGATGTAAAAAAATGAGAATAATATTGAACAAACCATTTCTGATTTATATAAGTCAGAAATGTAACACATTGTTATTTCTAGTTTATTGAATTCAATGCACTAAAGTCCGGAGAAACAGGGGCAAGAAGTACTTATGCTGCCAGAAGGTAGTTTTTTGTTCCCCAGTTTGTTTTTTTTAGATTTCTTTGCGGCTTCTGGGACACATCTGATTTTATATGGTGATAGAAAAAGACACTTAGAAATTCCCATGTAACAGATCTGAGCTGGATGCTTAGCAGTCCTGATGTGAATCCATTTTTCCTGCCAGGAGGATATTGTTAATAAGCAGATGCCATGCATGGAGCTGTTCTGGCCAAGGATGAACCTGCAGGAATTTAAACAGCACCCATGGATATATGTAATTCCTTTCCCTTCGAGTTTAATAATTTAGGAAAGCTGTTACTCAGCCTTTCTCCATCAGCATGACCCACTCAGCTGTTTATGACTGCAAATTTTAAAAAAATTATTTAGGAACTTTAAAATCAGAGATAACTTCTGCTCTCATGCCACTAGATTGTTTTCATCTGAATGTTTTCAGCTGCACCTGTGTTGATTTACTTTTTATGCATCCTAAAAGCACAGTCCATCCACATAAAAATGACCAAGCAGCTTAAAAGAATAAAGAAAAATCAAGCACTTCTAATATTAGATAAACAACTATGTTCTGTAAAAACTGACAGTTTTAAAAAAAATCCATTTTGCAGAAGTTTGACAAAAGCATGAAGACTATTTGCTGCAAAGCCTGAAATACCTGCATGTCTGTCCTTTGAATATTTGAATGCTTTCAAGATGTGCAATGTTTATTGGGAGAATAACTAGCATTTTTATAATATAGAATATGTATTCTCTATATTCTCTACATATAGTCTACATATTGTACATTATTTATAGAGCATAGAGTATGTTCTATATAGAATAGATATCTATTATAAAATAGTAAAATAAATATTTAGATATTATAAATCACAACAGTAACACTAACAACCTCAGACTATTGCAAAATGTCACTTTTTACCTCTTCTACAATTCCTTGCCTAGTGATTCATGGGGATGGGAACAACCTAAGCAACATTTTGTACTTAAACCCATAGATCTGCAAAACACTCACTGTCCTATGCAAAAGCCTTTTGTCTTCAAATTTTGTGGTGTCTCCTTTTGTCATTTAGGATAACATTAGTTATTTACTGCTCAAGTGAGTGTTTGGGGTTATATATAACATCCCACTATTTTCTCTTCTAGAGATGGCTGTTCCTTGCTGCAGGAAGGAGGGTGATAGTGGGAGACAGGACAAAGCTGATCCATCCTTGGAAGGAAACAAGGAATAAATTAGGGACCCTCATTTGCCAGGACATTGTGGCTGAAGTGACACTTTGATGGGCAATGCCAACATCTGTATCTCTCCCTCCATGGATCAAGGGATCATGCCATTAGCAGAGATGCACAGAAACACTTTCCCATTCATTTTCATGATGGAAGCATCCCCTTTGCCCACATGCCATGACATAATGTGACATTCCTGACCCTTGGCTGGCAACATCATCATGCTCTCAGCACAATGACAAGGCAGGAATGAAAACCAAAGAAGTTGCAGAAATCACGGCACTGGGATCATTTTCTCTGACATAAAACCACCTTTTTATTAGTGTCTCTGTTTCTTGCTTATATATGCTCTGGGAAAAAATGTCCATGAAATGGGAGGTGTTTTTTTTCCCACCAGCTCTCACAGCTGTGAAATGTGCAGCTAAAATCTCTCCCAGGTTTGCTGTCTGAATCACCCTATTGATGGTATGGGAGTTATTGCCATTTTTTCATCATTTCCTTTGGTAAACTGCATAAACCTGTGCTTCAACAGGCCAGGCAACATCCTTGGCTGTTGCTGTCCTATGCTGTTTTCACTGCACACAGATGATGTGGACTCTGGGTGGTTTCTTTTTTTTTTCCAATTACAAAGGAACAACAAAGCCTAATTGGAGAATTCAGACACTGAGCAAATTATTTGTTGTGGGTGGCAAGTGAGCTGAGGGGTAAACCCCTGTCCTTTGGTCAGGTGTTACTGGAGTTGGGATAAGTGGCTGAAGTCTATCATGACAAGATGGCTCTGTCTCAGGGGCTTCAGCAAGGGTCAGACACTGTGGGGATGGCCTGAGCCCAACCCCAGCCCTGGCTGCTTGCCCACGGGAAGCCATCTCCTGTGCTGGCCGAGAGGTGGGAGAGCTGAAGAAAGTATAGACATTAAGGTCAGGATGACTCAAGTGTGGGAAACAGAGCTGGGATTTCAAAAGCAGCTGCAGGCAGAGGGAAACCTCCTGGTTTTCAAAGAACAAACTTTTGCCTATGGGAAGTTTCAAAGGAGTTTCCATACAGCTGTCCTGTAAAAAAATAAGTATCATAAAACCCTTTTGCTCTCGGGGCAAAGCTCTGTGCACTGAAGTTTTTGCAAAGTAGGAAAATGATGGGTTCAAGTCATCCGAGCTCTCACAGAGGATAAATTGTGATGATCAGGTCAGAGATGCTCAAGGTCCCCTCCCTGCAGCATCCCTGGTGGGATGGGGTCCGGGACCAGTGTCCCCTGCAGCCATCATCTGTGTGGCCTGAGAGCCTGGGTGAGCATCACAACCTGGGAAAGCTAGCTCAGCATGGTCCACTGCTGGCATTATTATGGCAGCATTTAGGGGAAATATCCACCTGAAGGAGCACCCATGACCAGGGTTGAGACCAAACCCTTCAAAAAAATCGATATTGAAGTGGAGAGTGGCAGCTCCCTGTGGCTGGGAGGGGAGGGAGGGTAAGGCCGGAGGCATTCTGCTGTGCCACTGCAATGCTTTACACCTGCACAAGCTTGTCCCATGCCTGTGTTTGCCCCAGCCCTGGGGACTCTGGAGTCACACCAACCCTTGCCCTATAAGCAGCTGTAAGGACATGCAACGTGTAGGACAGGGGATCCTGGCTGCTTCCCCAGCATTAAAAATAGCTGCTTGCCTTCCCACTTATGCTGAGGACAGGAGGTGTCTGGACCACCTTCCCCTTGCCCACACTGCAGCTGACACAGCCTTGTGCTGGTGCCTGTGTTTGAGCAAATGTGGGGCCAGGAATGTTGTCAAGAGCAAGTGTCCACTGCCTGCACGCAACAAGATGCTGATTTACCAGCCCCACATCAGCCTTGGTGTCCCAGGCAGTGTCTAAGCCTTGTTAACATCCCTGGGGGGACCTCCCCTGCTTCTGGCATTGCTAGGGGCTCAGCACACATAGGCATCACTTGGGGCTCAGCACACACAGCAGTTCCTGCCGGCTGTGCTGTGCTGCTGGGCTCAGGGCCAGCCCCCTCACCCCCTCCCTGCCACTGTTTGCTCTCAGAGGTGGTGTTGACCTTCAGGCTGCGCCAGGTGTTCGGCCTCGTGTACATCGCTTTGTCTGGCTTTTATCTCCCACTCTTGATGTCTGCAGTTTCCCATGGGAGAAGACACTCTCCCATATCAGCTCCCTCCTGGAGCTTTTGCTCTGCTTTTAACTCTTTCTCGGGCAGAGGCCATGGTTCCTTGCTTGCCACACAACTGTGTCCCTCACTGAGCAGGGCTGCAAGACACCAGCCTGCAGAGACAAGTGGCTGAGTGATACATCCACTTTTTCTATTGAATATGCCTGCACAGGGTCTTTACAAGCTGTGTAGGGACCTGCCCCTGCCCTATTCTTGCCAGCTGCTCTCAAAGTGTTTGTTACCAAAGTCTTAGCATGAGCAAACCAAAAGCACCTTCATGCTGTCTTACAGATGAACACAGAGGAGGGCCAAGGAGCTCACAGCACTTTTCCAGCCCATCTGAATCCCTTTGGTACACCAGCCCCTTTCCCTCTGTGCCAGTCCTGGCATTTGTCCTGCTCAGTTCCCTTTGAGAAGTGCTCAGTATGCTGCAGCATCCAGCCTGGTCCTTTCACCAGCTGCTGTGTCAAGGAAAATGTTAAAGTTGCGGTCTGTCACAGGAAAGAAATGGTTTGTGGAATAAGCCCAAGTCTGTCCCCTGTAATGTCCTTCCTGGGTCATGTCCAGGCAGTGCTCAACATTGTATAGGGAAGGGTCCACAGCTTCTCCCTGCCTGCCTGAGGTGGGGGCAGCTGGTGGGATTTACTGCCTGTGGATACGAAGCCACAGCCTCCGCCGCAGACCTGGGGAGAGACAGTGTCCATCAGTTCCAGGACCCTCTCCCAGCTCCCCATCCCCAAGGGGCCTTACACCCCTTGTTGTCCCCCAGGGCTGGCAGGATGCTTACGGTGGAGGCGGTAGGCAATGGGGACCAGACTCAGCAGGAGGAGCAGGACACCAGCGGCCAGTGGGATCCAGATCAGGGGGCTGCAGGGACCTGGAGAGCAGGAGAGGATTCAGTACCTGGCACCATCCTGCCCTGGCAGCTTTGAGGGATGGAGTGTGGGGTGGGAAAGGGAGAAAAGCAATGCAGGTCCTCAGAGGAGAGGTGGAGGATGTGACCATGACCCTGGGGTATCCTTTGAATGATGCGTTTCAGAATCACAGAATCACAGAATGGGTAAGGTTGGAAGAGACCCCTGGAGGTCATCTGGTCCAAACTCCCTGTCCAAGCAGGGTCATCCACCTTACTCAGGATTATGTCCAGATGGCTTTTGAATATCTCCAGTGAGGGAGACTCCACAACCTTTCTGGGAAACCTGTTTCAGTGCTCAGTCACCCCCACAGTAAAGAAAGCATTGCAGGGAATTTTGCTCCGAGGTCACGACAGCCTAAACTGAAATATACACTATCCCCTAAACCCATGAATATCCCAGAAAACCACTCCTAAAGGCAGAGGTCAGCTCCCTCCACAACAGTGGTCTCGCTGGACTCAGATGCCCACTCCTGCAGGGTGACAGTGTGGCTGTCCCCACCCCAGGACAAACTCCAGCAGAACCCTGGGGACTCCTTTTGGGACACTCCTTTTGCAAGGCAGCCTGAGCTGACCTGATACCATACCTTTCTTGCTGGCAGCTGTGGTTTTGGTTACACACCGCCTGGGCTTTTTGGAGACTGGTGCCTGCGTGGTCTGCAGAGGCAGAGGCAAAACATCAACTGGGGGATAAGGAGGAGAAGAGGATGGTCAGTGTGGCACTGAGTGCAGCAGAGATCTCAAACAGCAGGCAAGAAGGGCTGGAAATATCGGCCCTCAAATCTAGCCCCGTTTAGTGCCCCCCCACAAAGGGCTGTGCCATCCAGAGGGGTCAGGAGCTTGACCTGAGTCTCTCGGTGGCACAGAAGTCACCAAGAGCTTGTAAAAGCATAAATAAAACAATGTACCAGGCAAAGAAGGGCAGAAAGCTAAGGCAGGGGAAAAACCCACAACTTTCCTGAGCTACAGTTGCTGCCAGGCACCGTTTCTTTAGCGTTGCACAAAATCATGGGTAGCACAAGATTTCAGTAGCACAGTGAGGTTTTAAGGGATCCCTGGATGTTTTTCCTTATTCAGATCACTCTAATCTTTGCTCAAAATTGATTCTTTTTCCTGATAAAATGAGGGAAGGAGTTCTTATGGTGTATCTGAATTACTGTGCAGCACCATCATCTCTCAGTAAAGCTGGTCAGGAAAATATACCAGTAACGTCATTAAATAGATATAGGTCTGACTGCTCAAATCACACTTATTCAAAATTTTAGGGGATTCTAAGCTACTTTCTTCTGCTTCTATCCAGGGCAGACATTGCTATGGAAAATACTATTCTTTTACAGGGAAAGAAAAACCACCAGGTGCCTGGGATTTATCTGGACAACTTCTCCCTTACATTATAATAGACTTACAGAAAAGGAGCTTAAAGATAATTTCTTTTATCAGGAGTGCTAAGAGCAAAATAAGAAAATATCCAGAAATGCCTGAGTCCCCCCAGAGCACCTGATGATGTTTAGTTTTAATTGGAGTGTCCTTGATCAGGCTGAGTTTCAAGCCTGTTTTTCGTACTTTGCACAGAGATATGTGTCCAGTTGATAAAAACCAGTTCTCCTTTATCTTAAACCAGCTTTTGTGTCAGCCAGCAAGATTCCAAAAAGGGATTTCTCAGCCAGTTCAAGATGCAAGGCATATTTGCAAAAAAACCCCAGAAAAGCTGGGACACTGAGACTGCTTTAAAGTCAGAAGATGTAGCTGCATTTTTGGTTAAATAAGTTATTTGTCTCCCTAAACATCTTCAAAGAAAGGGCTGAATCCTACATTAGTCACATTAGTTGTTCTGCATCAATTCCTGCCCTGTGGTCCATGGAAAAATAGGCTGAAAAGAGCTTCTGTATGACCCAGCTGCCTGTAAAGCATTTCTCCCTCAATGCCACCTGCAGACAGCTCTGATTTCTGGTTGGAGCTCCCCAGGGGTAGCAGGTTGTGAGCTTTGAGGAATAAATCTCATTTCAGTCCTTTATGTGAAGGATGGGCTTGAAAGCTGCTGTCAGACCCACTCCACAGATGTGAGGGGTGATATCCTTTGGCCTCAGTGCTGCTCTTGTCACTGGGAAGAAGGGTAAGGAAGACCCAGGGCAGGGATGGACCCGAGAGCTGTGCCAGGCACACATCCAGCCTCTCATCCAAAGTACTGCAGGGGATGAGAAAAACACAGAGCAGGCAATATCAGGGGCTGAGGGTCTTCCCATGGAAATCCCAAACTACTAGGACTAGCATGGTGCTCAAGGCATGACCACAGCAGATCAAATGCTGGTAGCAAAAGGACTATCATATGCAGATGTCATAAAACTTAGCTATTTTCTGTACTTTCTGTTTTATCCAGTCTCAGAGATCTCTTCAGAAAAAACCCAGAGCCTCAATCTTGTATCTCAAAATTGGGAAGGGTTTCCCAGCACACATCACCCTTACCCAGGGTCCACATCACAGCCTGCTGTGGCACATTTTGGAACCCTGGGGTGATGCTTACCTACACTGAGCCGTGTCCCCCTGCCCAGGAGGAGCTGGGAGGACTGGGAGGCAGAGCAGTAATAGGTACCACTGTCCGAGGCGTGGAGGTGGCTGATGTGCAGGCTGTAGGAGCTGTGGACACTAAACTTGTCCTGGCTGACATTTGCACCATATGTGGCTTTGCCCAGTGTGTTAGAAAATAGCAAGAACTCAAACATTTGCCTCTCCTGGCTCCAGCGATACCAGTACACCCCAGCATGCTCCTTCTTCAGGTCACAGAGGATTTCTGTTTTATTATTAGTTTGGGCTAAAATATGCTCTGGACTCTGAGATAAAAGTAGATTTGTACAGAAACCTAAGAAAAAAGAGACAGAAATACACAGTTATTATTTTCTTTCCATTATTTGCGTTCCATGCTAAGTACAGATTTTCTTTATGGGTTTAATAAAACCAGTTAGTAGCAGACCAGGGGATTGCATGTGTGAGAAGCAGGAGCATCTTTATCAGGATGCTATTATAATCTTTCAGAGTTCTTTTTGGTTCCCCAGCTATTTTTTGGTCAAGCCTAGTTATACAGTAGTTTTTCCTGTAAATACTCATCTTAGGAGGAGGCTCAGTGGCAGGGAGAGGGATGGAGGAATGTTTTTTAGGGTGTTCTGGGGGCTGTATGTGCAGGGAAGGACATCTCTCCTTGCTCTCCTTTTCTCTTTCCTTTTTCAGAGAGGCTTTGCTCTTTCAACATATTTTTTGGATCCTCTTATTTGCCGCATTTTCCTTCTAACAAGATGCAACACCAATAAACATCTCAGATGCAGAAAAAAACCCCAAAAGTGTGCAGAACAACTCAAAATGAGCCATTTTGATATGAGTTTTCAGACAATATTATTTTCATATGAATTCTGAGACCTGGGGAAGGAGACAGATTGAGGGATAGCGGTGGGGTTCAAAGCTTTGGTTTGTTTGGGCTTGGCAGCTCCTGTGGAAATTTTCTGAGTTTTGTTTGGCCCAGGCAGATGTGAGCAGTGTCTGCATGTGAACGAGGATGTGTCCTTGTGGAAAGGATAACAGGAGACTCGTGATCCTTTCTGTTCAGAAAACAGTCCTGCAAACCTGCAGACACTCTGAGACAGAGTGAAAAACAGCCCTCTGAAGATAAAGATGTGCTCGCTTCCCCCCTCTCTTTCCCAGGCGTGTTTTAAAAAACACAAAAAGCTCAGAAATACAGGTTTCTTGTCCATTTTTTTTTCGTTTTACCTTAAAATGTCCCTTTTTCTTCAAAATCCCCAAGCTGCTTACAGTAGTTGTTGTGGCCTCCTGCAGCCCTGCATGAGGCTGTGGGAATGGGCTGGTGTGACACAAGAACACCTGAAGCCATTACAGGGGCACAAGGCCCTGATGTCCCATGTTCCTGATGGGACAGGCAGAGGAGAGGGCTCTGGTCACTGACACAGGTCCAGAGCCTTCCTCTGTCCTCACAGTGATGACCCCATTGCTGCCAGTTGCTGCTGAGCCCTAATACTGCAATGCTGAAATTCAGGCATTGCACAGCAGCCACAGCATTTCACCACATCCTATGGCTCTGTAACAATATCAATGTCTCCTTGTTATCAAAATACATAATTTTCAGGTTTTAAGAGTGCATTTCCTCCAAACATTGCTCTGGCAACCACCTGTGTGGTTTTTTATGGGGTGAAATGTACATGGCCATGGGGCACGAGTGCTTCAGGGTCTCCTTGGCTGCCCTGAGGTCTGGCTCTCTGGGCATGGGAAATAACTCTCCGTGAAAAACTTTTCCTTGAGCTGTTGGAGATTGTTAGATGAGACAGAAAGGATGAGAAGGGATTTTGGAAAATCTCAGCTCAGTACCAATAGTCAATCTCCAGTGGGGTGAGCTGGGATGGAGCCAGAGCAGCAAAACTCATCCTCAGTCATACCTTCATTCCCTCAAATCTCCCTGTTCCCTTTCCTGGTGTATATGCAGGAGAACCACGGGGAATCACAGTGTCTGCATGTGCTTGGCCAAACCAGCCTGCAGCACCTTAAAAATAGTCCATTTTCCCTTTGCATGTGCAGAGCAAACTCTCATTTTTTGGGGCTTTCTCAGCAGGGACCCCACCGCATAGATCTATAGGATGTCAATGCCTGTAAGGCAGTGTGATTTTATAACACACCAATTCTAGCTGTGGCCCTTGGGAAATACTCAGTCTTTGGATGATTTGGAAGACAATTTGATGGGATGTTTATCATCTTTGTGTTACACAGCCAGTGTAGATAGGTCCTACTTTAACTTCGCCATCAAGGGCTTCCTACAGTCCACCCGCACTGAGAGTGCAGTAAAAACAACCTCTGCTGTGTCTGTACCATTATATATTGCACAATGTATAGAATATAGAATAGAATAGAATAGATGGATGATTTGGAAGACAATTTGATGGGATGTTTATCATCTTTGTGTTACACAGCCAGTGTAGATAGGTCCTACTTTAACTTCGCCATCAAGGGCTTCCTACAGTCCACCCGCACTGAGAGTGCAGTAAAAACAACCTCTGCTGTGTCTGTACCATTATATATTGCACAATGTATAGAATATAGAATAGAATAGAATAGAATAGAATAGAATAGAATAGAATAGAACAGAACAGAATAGGCTATTTCAGTTGGAATGGACCTACAACCATCTAGTCCCACTGCCTGACTGATTCAGGGCTGACTAAAAGTTGAAGCATGGTATTAATAGCATTATCCAAAATTATGTGGCGAGAGGTAGAAATATCCTGTAGATCTATACTATATCTGTATATTTATTTAAACTTCCATCATCCAGATGCTGCACAACACATCCCATATGGTGGAGCAGGGTGGAGGAGAAGCTCCAGCATGATTTCAGGTGCCCTCAACCCTTAAGAGATGTTCCCCGCTTACCTGAGATCTGGAGGCAGACGCAGAGATGGAGCCACAGCCTGGCCATGGCTGTGGAGTCAGTGACAGAGGGGTTTTGTGCCAGCTCCCCCTTTCCACACACAGTCACCTCTCGGTGGTAGGGCTGGTTTCACCCCAGGAACTTCTTCCCCGTCTCGGCACAGATGTCTCACCAATGGCTGCCAAAGAGCATCTGCCACGGCAGCACCTGGACCCTCAGCCCAGCAGCTTCTGCTGCATCAAGCCCCAAGTCCAGGCACTGCACGGGGTACCCTTAGATCCCCTTTAGGAAGATTAGAAAAACTCTTTGATTTTTAATTATGATTTCTTCATATTTCACCACCTAGTTATTCCTCCTTCTTTTAAACTATGACAAATGTAGGAGCCTGGCATTAAAGATAAAAGCAGGAAAGGATTAATTTTGGCTGGTTTCTTCTCTGTCGAAACCAAAAGGCATTCCAAAGAAGGAAAAGGTGCAATTTGATCTGTAGGGTTGTTTTCTTCAGCAGAACTTTTTAGCAGGAGGTGTTTTTCTCTGGAAAATGCTGAACACCAGACCAACTTGCCATAAAGCAAAGGCATGAGGCATCACAGAAAACCTTGAAGTCAAGAGCAAAAAACCTCAAACAAATTTGTGGTTGAAAAACCACAAAAATAAGGAAATTCTGCTGGGGCTCCCCACCTTGCAGCAGATGCTGCTTTGGTAGATGTGACAGAGGATGGCTCATATGCAGAAGTATTGAAACGATAGATAAAATATCAGAGTGGCTTTGAAATGTCTTTGTGAGGGAGAGGTTTGAAGCATTCGGGGTTTAAGGTTTAAAGAGTGAAGTATGTGGCATGAAATTCCAGGGGTGAACTGGTGCCAGCAGCCTTCAATAATTCCATGTTAGGAAAAAAATATTATAAATGAATTATTATTTTTATTTGTTTATTGGTCTCTTGGCTGCCAAGCAAGGTTCAGTTTTCTTTTATGCCCCTCTTATGGTCCTTACAATGGCCCAGCATCTCCTCAGTGAGGGGAGTCTCACATGGGGGCACCGAGAAACCTCCCCTGGGGTTGAGCTGGCAGATGAATAGGAAAGATTATATTGCATCTTGTACAGTGTAATTTTTTGGCCCATTTTGTACCAGTTTTTTCCATGCTGCTGTAAAACATCCCCTCCCCGGTTCTGTTTAAAATTATTTCCTGCTCAAAGCGGGTTGCTAACTGCGAAAACCTTGCCACAAAGGACTCAGCTGCTAAAATTTAGGGTGGGCTGCATTGCTCCTTAACTCTTTCCTGGCAGGAGAAAGTAATTTTAGTGTTTTCAAACCCATTTCAAGGGTTTTAAGCTCTTGCTTTCGGAGGTTAGCCCCTGGCATGGGGTGCAGCAATTCTTACCTCTCCTCACCACCTGCTCACCTGTCCCCTTTTGTATCATTCCCAGGTCGGGGCCACCCCAGTATGGGGTGAAACACCTCTTTTTTTGGTAGGCAGGGAGTGCTTAATGTGAGAAATGTGACTGCAAGTGCATTTTCTCTTTAGCCCCATGGTAAAGTCTGTGAGCTGAGCCCAACATCCCCAGCTGCTGCAATGGCTGTCCCTCCTTTCTCACTACTGCTGTCACCCAGAGCATCTTCTGGACTCCTGGCCATGACAAAGTGCTCTCAGAGGTGGCTTTTGGACATGGGGATGTTACACTGGGATAGTGCAAGGCCAGTAACAGAGAGTCGTCTAAGCAGATACCATGGCTTTGAACGATTCCCCAGGGCATTATAGTGGCTTTAGAGATGCGTCCCTGCAGTGGT